CTGAGGCTGAGATTTGCCGCCGCCTCCCCCACCGGCCTGCGCGCCTCCTCCGGCCTCCTCGCCCGCTCCCGCCCCGCTCCATTGGCCGCCGGCCGGCGCCCACCGACCCTCGCCCGAGCCCGCGCTCGGGCGCTCGTCGGGAGCAGGTGAAAATGGCCGAGAACTTGCTGGACGGACCGCCCAACCCCAAACGAGCCAAACTCAGCTCGCCGGGATTCTCTGCGAATGACAGCACAGGTGAGGAGGGGGCCGGGCGGGCCCCGGGCGGCGGGCCCCCGGCGGGGGCTGTCACCCCCACCCAAGGCGAGGGCCCCCGCGGCTGGGGGTCGCCCCGACCTGACTGTAGACCGCGGCCCGAAGTGGGGCCCACGCAGCCCCCGGCTCGGGCCCCCGCGTGGGGGAGAGGTGGAAGTTTGTGGGAAGACTTGTCACTCGGCCCGAGTCCTGCATGCGCTGGGCTTCCCGGAGTTGGCCAGCCCCCCTCGCGCGGCAGTGGAATGAGACTTCTCGGGAGAAAGAGTAAAGTGGAGTGTGTTCATTCTGTTTGGTCACATCACACGCATCCGACTGCGCCGTGTGTCCACACACGCGTGGCTGTCTAGAGGAGTGGCAGGGAAGCGGGGAGTACGGTTTCTGGTTAGAGAAAGAGAGCTCGCAGCTGAAGGGGGACTTGTGTCTTCTCTGAATCGGCAATGCATTCACAACCCTGCAGCCCCAACACGCTCGCAGCCACCGGCTTGTGAGTTGCGACTTAGAAGTTTCTTGGACTATGTTTCTTGGGAAAGTGTTTAGTAGTTGTTTTGAAGACTCTTTTTTTGTCACCTAATCATCCCATTTTTCATAACCCCAAACTCCCTTAGCAAGATGTCACGGAAGTTGCTGTGATGTGTTTAATTTCACTGATAGAACTTAGAGAGAAAGTCAATGGCAGATTCATTTGAGCCATAGTCTCCATTCGAGCTTGTCTTGGTTTTACAGTGTAGATGTGCGAACAATTATGTGAAGGAATGTAGAAATTACAGTTCTTCCAAAAATGTTAGCAGAATACGGAGTAAATCGTCTTTTTTTTCCTCATTAAATAGCATCGATGAAAACTTTCTTAGGTAATCGTATCCGTTGCCTAAGAAAAGTATGTTAGTTTTTGCTTCACTTAATAGTTCTGGGTTTTCTGGGCTGGTTTATGGTAACAGTACCAGCCGGTGGCATTTCCTCTTTTAGAGGCTCGATTCTGCAGTAAAAACTTGGGTGCAGCTGCGAGCGATTTCAGTCCCCAGCGCAGTATTTGCCTTTCTCCAGTGCAGTCTTGAGTAGCAGCATCTGAAAATCAGTTTATAATGAATGGGCCCAAATCGAATTATATCGCGGCTGCAGTGCCTTCACATTTGCGCTAGACACAGCTGTTTAACTTGTGGCAGTGTTTCTCCGACTGTCCGTTTGCCTAGACAAAAATCTAGTTCTACTGTTGAAACAAAGCTGCAATCTTGTGGCTTCAGTTTTAATTCCTGGGATCCAGTTATGAGAAGTGGCATGTAATATTAATGTAGAAATGAGAGAAGCGATTTTTTAAAAAAATCAGTCTTAAGTAGGTTTTCGTCTAGTTAAAATTGTGTTCAACAGTGGGAATGCATGAGTCTCAGTAGCATATGAAAGTTACTAGGAATACTCATTTTTTTAAAAACCAATAGTTTGATATTAATTTTGTAAAAGCAGCTTATCCAAAGTGAAAAATTTGGTTAACAACCATACTTTAAGTGCCGTTTTGCTGCAGAACAGATCTTACTTGCTGAAAACCTTCCCGTTTGAGTGAAAAGTTTTCAGTCTTAGGAAATGTAGATTGTACAGGAAAGCTGCGCTTTCAAGCTTGGCTTCTGAAACTGGGTAACTTTTGAATGGCTTTACAGCTTTGCAGTTGTTGAATGAGGTTACTGTAGGTTTTGTTTTATAAGGGGGCAAAATGATTAACACGAGACTCAGCAAAAAGGGGTGTCCTGCTTCAAAGATGGACCCCAAAGGATGGCGTTTGGGGGCAGTTCTGTTAGTGGATGGCCAGATGTTTGCTTAATGTGCTGTTAATCCCAACATAGTTTGTCAGGAAGGATTTTCCACTTGTAACATTTTTTCTTCCTTGCCATTTTTTACCCTGTAAGGAACAAACAGGGGCCCTTTTACTTTTCCAAATGTGGAACAAAAGATTCGATTTCTAATGGCTCCATTTTAAATAATCCAAAGGATAAAAGTCACGCTCATACTTCAGTTTGGTCCTTGGTCGTGTTCATCACCATCACGTTTTCATGAAAGAGTCTATTAGTGGGGGGACCCGGGAGGAAGGGGTCGTTCTCAAGCGTATTAAAGGAGGTACAGCCTTGTTGTCTAGTAACAACTAGTCTAGGTCGCCGAGTGAGGAGGTGGACAGCGATGGCAAAGATGTATATTAAGGAAATAAGTGACCGAGATATGTATCGTACACCAAATCCATCCAAAGGATTGGGATGGGAATGTGGCCAGAGTCCTGGGAGTAGCAGCCCTGAGGGACTCAGCCTTTCTTTAATGAAGGGATGTGCCCAGGAGGCTCTCAGAAAATTCGGCAGGTGGAGAAGGTGTGGCATGTGATAAAATTTGAGGGTGGGGAGCTGTGTTTGTGGGTAGAGCTGAGGGGTCGGAAGGAAGAGGAGGAGGCTGTGGCAGCATGGCTCATGAAATGAGGAGGAGCAGGGTGAGCATACGGCTGCCAGAGTGTACTGCCCGTCTGTGGGGACTGGCCTCTGGAGGCGAGGTGGGCAGAGACCCAACAGTACCCCTGACCTTAGGGAGCTTCCCAGCCAGGATCCTGCCCACAGGGTGCTTGTAGTCTGGTGGTGGTGGGGTGTCCCAAGGAGAGGAGCAGACCCCCTCCCCCCCCCACCGAGAGGAAGGAAAAACAGACCCTAGTAAAACAACAGCTCTGGAATGACAGACTTTTATGGAATCAGATGTTGCTGAAGTAACTTTTTCTAGTTTTACGTGGAAGGCTTAAACATTTTCTCACACACGAAGCCTTGCTTTACTTGGCACCCCTCATAAGAAGTGACCACTGTGTGTTGTGTGTTTTGGAAGTGTCCTTACTTAATATGTCCACATTAAAACAGCACATGAGTGTCTTTTAACAGAGGGGATTCGTGATTTAACAGTGTGGGAGAAATAAATATCCAGGCAAGCAGTAGAGTTTTTTTTTTGGTGGGGGGGGGGTCAGCTTTATTGAAGCAAAATTTACATATAACAAATAGGCTGTTTATTAAAAAGTTTTTAACAACGGCCCTCTGAAAGTTGAAGACAGGTATATTTCATCAGGTGCTGTGGACGCATCCTTAAGAAATCGTGATCACATTTTATAACTCGAGTCCTTTCTTTTTTAAAGAAAGCTGGTGGTGACAGTGACCAGCCAAAATATCTTTCACAACAAAACAAAGTTCTTTTATGTTTGTGCAGTGCTTTACATACCAGGGCGCTTTTGTATGCATCTTCTCATTTCGGTCCTCACACTGTCTCAAGAGATAGGAAGAGAAGGTATAGCTATTATTGCCATTTTCTAGGTGAGGAAACAGACTGGAGAGAGGTGATTTGCCCAGATCATTAACGTCACTAGTTCTGTGTATTTATTTTGTAAATCTACATTTGCAAACTGTGAATTTGCTGGAAAGACTGACCTGGGAGACTGCCACACTTGTCAGGTTTCAGTAGTACATCTCCAGCAAGTGAATCAAATCCCTAAGGGAAAAGTCTGTTACCATCTATGGGGGGACGGGGATGGTCTTCCTACCACAGGGGTAGGTCAGGCCCACCCTCCAGCTCTGACGCAGCGGAGTGTTATCCACACCCCTGTACGCTTATTTTCTTGCTTACTGGAATGGATAATTGAGAGATGGCCAAGTTACTTGATTTTATCACTGAGTCCTAGCTAAAAAGGAAATAGAAGTTTTCATAGAGACTTCTAGAGCTAGCGCTTTACACACCTTTGCCTTGCCTTATAAAAGTAGGGACTTTTGAATACCTGTGTCAGAGGAATGAGAACAGCGGCTACCATTTGAGGCCTCTCAGGTATGGTGGCAGATAAGTAGGAATCACGCCAGGGGAGCCTTGTTGTGTGCCATAGAGTCGATTCCAACTCCTAGCGACCCCGTGTGACAGAGTAAAACTGGCAGTGAGGGTTTCCTAGGCTGTAATCTTTACAGAAGCAGATCGCCTGGTCTTTCTCCCGCAGAGCAGCTGATGGGTTCAAACAGCAGACCTCTTGGTTGGCGGCCAAGCTCTTAACCACTGTGGCACCAGGGCTCCAGAGCCTTAGCGGTACATAGAAAGATTGAGAATCACTAGTGATTTGACATCTGAATTTGATGCTGTGATTTTTAAACATACAACTAGTCCCTGATTTATGACTCCATTGTAAGTCAGTTCTGATGTAAGTCGAGTACCTCTTTTTTTTTTGTTTTCATTATTATTGCGTTTTGTTATTAGTGTTGTTATAAATCCGATCTTTATTTGTCTTTGGGGGTTGGCATGAGAATGACAACAGCAAATTACATGCTGTAACATTGTAGTACATATTAGTAAAGATATTAAAAATGGTTGTAAGTGCAGTTTGTCATAAATCGGTGACTACCTGTAATTGAAAATGACTCTTAAAGGGACTGAGGCTTAATCCTACAGTGGGAAGTTGATGCTAAGACTAGATTGTTAACCTCCGCTTTTACAGCATCTAAATTGTGCGACAAACTACGATTATCGATTAGCAGAGCTCTGCCTGTGGTACAAGTATCCTAATGTAAGCTTAAGTGCTCACTTTGTATTTTTATTCAGTGTATTCAGAAACAAAGTAGTTAAAAACGATTTTGCCAAGATAACGCCTTGCCTGGTTAAGATGAAATGTACTTCACTGTGGGTTTTTAAAGCTGAGAAAAGTGGTTGCTTTTCAGCCAGTTTAGTTCTGGAGTCACATTAGTCGGGGTTCCACCTCTTTATCTTATTCAAACCTGCACTACTCCATGAAGTTAGAGACCGTGCTAAGAGTCGTTTCTCCAAAAAAAAAGCTTTGCTGCTCGTATGAGGTTGGGAGTAGTCAAAGACTTTTCACTGTGGGCTTCCAAGAGCCACAGCTTGCTGACAGGCACAGTGAAGCTTCAAGGGAGGGGCTGTAGTTCGCACTATCCCAAAATCTAATTGCCCCTGAAAAAAAAACCAAACCCCGTTGCCATCGAGTCGAT